TAATATAACCATCAACTAAAATTCAACGTTTAAGAAGAAAGGAAATAAACCGCGATAATAAAAAAAAATTGGTGTCAAAGCAAAACATGAGAAACCCCTTGAAAAGAGCAACAACAAAGACAGTCTTTAAGCACACAAATCTGAAGAATTGAAAGGTAAAGTGCTTCAACATAAGAAGAACATAATGAGCACATTAAAGGCGAAATATACGCCAACGGAGAATATATAATTTAAATGAAGCTAAAAATAGCAGTCCAAGTTCAATAGAAAAGAAGAAGTCTAAAGCGAAAGCATATTGAATGAAAAACAGCCAAAATGAGCTTGCAAAAGCAATAAAAATTTATATTTGATTTACAAGCTTGAAAACTACATCGCACAACTTTGCGCGATCTCTTAACATATTTCATCATAACCTCAGCTAAATAAAAAGCATTCAAAGTGAGGTTCAATAACAAGCAACAACCACAAAACACTCCCTACTCGCACACCTCTCCCTCCAGCGACATGGCGATCAATTTCTCCGCATCATTTGCGGCTTGCATCGCCGCTGGACTGAAGGTGCCGCGTCAAATAATGTACTGCATCACGCAGGACACTGGCCAGCCATATGTGCTGTATAAGGACTCACAAGATGGCGAGCGCAATCCGGCTGCGATTGCTGGTTCGGCCGCGCAATGGGGCAGTGAAATGTATCCAGGTATACAGCAACAGGCGCAGCAACATTTGCAGGCGCAACAGCAACAGAATGGACAAAATCCGGCAGCGCAGATAGCGAGCGCCGCGCAAGCAGCTGCCGCGGCGGTAGCGCAGCATCAACAACAGCAGCAGCAGCAACAGCAGCAACAACAACAGGGTCAACAGCCACATAGCCCGACCGGCGATGTACGTGAAAATGGCGGCGATGGCGGTGGTGGTGTTGGACGGCAGCAGGGTTCGCCATCCACAAGTCCGTATCCGCCGCAGCAGCGCGTTAATGGCGGTGGCCCACCCGATGATGATGTCACCATGAGCCAGGTAAGTACTGCGCGTTCACATTAAAAATACAAAATATTTTCGTGCTTACTTTTTATTTTTCTCTTAAATGCAATTGCAGGTCGCCAACCTGCAGGCCAGCCAACAACAGAACTCGGCGCCCAATCCAAACCAAAGCAACAATGATCCGCAACAACACCAGTCATCGGGTGGCGATGCCGGCGCGGGGAACCCACAGCAACAACATGTACAGAACGGTGGTCCGTCGCAACCGGGCCAGGGCAGCGATAACTTCCAAGCGCCGCAGGGCGGTGAACTCGGCGGCTACTATGCGCCACGCCATCCCGCGCCACAGGGCGCTATGCTGCCACCACCCGGCTTCCCTGCACTACACTATCTCAATAAACCAGTGCTTCCCGGCATGGCAGGCGCCATGGAACAGAACGGTGGTCTGGAGGCATACGCTATGCCCGAACTATTGCCAGGCGCTGGCGGTGGTGGTGGGCCACAGGGTAACAATGGCCAACAGAATGGTGGCAATGCACATAACAGTGGTGCCAATGGCAATGGTGGCTCGGAAGGTGCGGCTGGTGCCAACGGGAGCGCAGGCAATGGCAACGTCACCGCCACTGGCGCTGGTGGTACTGGTACGGGTACAGGTACCGGTACAGGCAGTGGTCGTGGTCGTCATCCCAATCCCAATAAACCGCCGAAACCACACAGCGACTTACGTCTATTCAAGTGTCTGACCTGCGGCAAGGATTTCAAACAGAAGAGTACGCTACTTCAACATGATCGCATCCATACCGACGCTCGTCCATATCCATGCTCGGAGTGTGGCAAACGATTCCGACAGCAATCGCATCTAACACAACATCTACGCATACACGCCAATGAGAAACCATTCACATGCGGCTACTGTTCGCGCAGCTTCCGTCAGCGGGCGATACTCAACCAACATATACGCATCCATTCGGGTGAGAAGCCCTACGCATGCCCAGAGTGCGGCAAGCACTTTCGCCAGAAGGCCATCCTCAATCAACATGTGCGCACCCACCAAGGCGAGCGACAGTTATTGAAACAATTGAACAAATTGCAAATTTGCAGAATTTGATTATTTAGGCAGAGGCAGAGAGTTAGATAGGCAGACCTATACACACATACCTACATTCAATCAGCCATTCTCATATATATGAAACTACCTACTAAATATGTACATGCTTACAGCTAGCTAGTGGAGGCGCATGCAGTCTAGGCGCAACAAAAGTTGCTAGCTAGTTTAGGATCCAGTTTGGAAAGAGCTTTAGACAGACGAATCCTGCTAATGCCCCTGCAAAATTCCAAATTTCAAAATTTACAATACGCTTTCGTCTTCTATGCACCTTTGATAGAAGGAAATGGCTGCCTTTTCAGAATGGTGATGTTGCTTTTCCCCGTCTCAAACTAGAGTCAAAATTGTAGTCTAAGGGAAAAAAAGTTTTAATTTAATTCATTCGCGTTTAGGCCCAAAAGTTTTTTTTTTAACGCGAACAGGGTTTACTTGTGTGTCTTGTATAACTTTTTTTATGTTCTAGTAATAAAACTTTATTTTTGCAAAAATTCCATTTCATATCGAAACACCGAAGTATTTCATCTAGTAAAAAATATTCAGTATTTAGTAGATTGAATAATTTGTTGTATAATCTGGTGCCAAATCATCTAATTTCGTACAAAAAACTTGGATTATACTTCCTACAATTGTTCTTACCACTATGTTTACTATGTTTTTAAATATTTTTTGGTTTATTGCATTTTTTGCATACTAAGTACTTATCTTGAAATTTTATTAATTGTGATACTAAATTTTATTAACTAAATTTTAAGTACTAAAAATTTAATTTAGTGTTTAACCTTAAGTACTCAGCACTAGCACTTAAACCTAATTTAGTATCAAAAACTTCGTTAATGCCTATGTTCCTAACAATTTAATGCAAACTCTTTTTTACTAAATTTTAAATATTTTTTGGTTTATTGTAATTTTGGTGCTGAAATTTTAAGTACTCAGTACTTATCTCGAATATTTTATTTAAATTGTGGTACAATTTTAAGTAGTAAAATTAAATCTACTCATTTACCTTAAGAATTAAGCACTCAACACTATCACCAAAATCTAATCTAGTACAAAAAGCTTCAGTAATCTTGTGTTGTTCTTAACTGCCAATTTTTTTTTTTACTAAATATTAAATATATTTTGGTTTTTTGTAATTTTCGTACTAAAATTTTAAGTACTCAGCACTTGAATTTTTTGTTAAATTTCAAGTACTAAAAATTTAATTTAGTATCCAACCTTAAGTACTCAGCACGCAGTACTAGTGCTAAAATCTAATTTAGTACCAAAAACTTCAGTTATATTTTTTTTGTGTCTTCGCAATTTAGTGCCAACTTTTTTGTACTAAATTTTTTAATATTTTTTGGATTATTGTATTTTTGGTACTGAACTTTTGAGTACTCAGTAGGTATCTTGAATATTTTTTGAATTGTGGTACTAAATAAATCAGCACTCCGCAATTTAAGTAAATTTTTTAACGTTATTGTACTAAATGTGCAGTACTAAAACTTAATTTCTACCGGAGATTCCAAAACAAACAAAATATGAGGCCACGGGGGTAGAAGTGGCCTAAACCACAATATTTTTTTGTACCTGACTACTTAAATAGTTTCTAATGTGTTAATTGTTAAAATTAAAGTCGCTTAATTTAAAACAACAAAGCTACAATAAGCACTTCTGCTCTTAGGGCCTCATATGAAACTCAGTTCTGCACATGAGTTACAGTGCTATTTTTATATTTCATTTGAGGGATTCACAATGATGTCGTAAGTGTCGTATTGTTGTATGTCATAAACTTTAAAAGCATAAAAAAATGTTTAGAGAACTTGAAACGTCAACCAACTATTTTTTAGCACTACAAATATTCATAATATGACTTTGATGGTACTTTGCGAACCCCATTAATATAATTTTTAGGCGTTTAAAGTCTACGACATACGACACTTACGACACCGTTGTGAATACTCCAATTATACCCGTATTTAAATTACTTCTGCAATTATGGTGCTAACACTTTTGGTACTCAGCTCATTGATTAAAGACATTTTTTTAAAGGTTTATAACACTAGAACTTAATGAAATATCTACATACATCAATATCTAAACACTAATATAATGCACATCAGCAAGTATTGAGTACATAAATATATGTAGTTTTCGACCAAAATTTAGGCACTCAGTTTTTTTCAGTTCTTAAATCCAGTTTGATTAGGTAATATACCATCCTTAGTACAAAAATCTTTTTTAATCAAACTCAGGTTTCAATTGCCTTTAGCCTCATTTTAAATTTATTTACTAAATTATTACACAACGGTTGTTAATTTTTAAACATTAATTGAGATTATTAGGACAACCTCAGGTCAAAGTTTAGTCTCCTGCAACACATCATTTTGAAAAGGCATAATAATCTGACACAAACTTCTTTGGTATAACTTTAAGCTGAATTTAATACCGTCACCATAAATTATAACATACCTAAGGCAACACCTAAAACAAAATATTAAAAAAAAAAAACTTAAGAAGCCCAAAAAGTGCTGAAGCACTTCGCTTGCTAAAAATTAATCCAATTTAATTCTTTATTTTTTCTTCAAATTTATCATTTCAAATCTTACTGTAGTTTAGCGTAGCAAATATTAAGAGTTATTCTTTATATAAAAAAAAAAATACAAAAATCGGGTAATTCACCCAAATTCATTATGTACTAACGGCTTATTTGCTCTTACGTTTCGTTTCATTTGCATTCGCACGTCGCGCAAACGTTAACCCACCAACGTTCTCATGCCGATAAACAGATGTCTCACCGAATCTTATCTTCAAGAATGGTCCACATCCGACTCTTTGGCCACAGGATGTTCCATATCCGGGTGATGAGACTGACACAAAGAATGATATAGCCAGCGGGAGCGGTTATCATGACGAGGATTCACAGGGTACGCCTGACGGCAGCGGCGGTATACATTATCCGTCATACTTTAAGGACAACAAAGGTAATAAAAACTGTACGTATACCAGCAATTTTTTAATTTTCTTTTTATTACAATTTAAGTATGTATGTATATGATGTATTGTATTTATTAATTTCTTCTTTGTTAAATTTCTCTACATTTGTATGTTTATTATAAAAGTACATACAAACATGTATGTAGTTACTCCATCTGCTCATTTAAGCTTAATCTGGCAGTTGCTAAAATGAGAAGGAAACGTAATTCTTTTAAAAAATTTGTGTGGTTGTCGATCACGATCTTTACCCTCCAGACGTACATACTACCTTAACCTGTCTAAGCACTTGATATGCAAAGTTCATACATATAACAAGCTGAAACTTTTTATAAAGTAACATTTTAGGCCAATTTCCTTCGAAGAAGTGTCATTTTATTTGTCCATAATCTGTAGAACTAAACGAGATAAAAGGATTATATTATACTCTACGCTACACAAAGTATTTAACGGCCATTCCCACCTAGATTAAAATCACGTCTTGGACGAGTTTTCGGAAAGCATACGGTTCAACACAGACAAGATCCACAAAGCATAGTTCTAAATCATATGAAACCCTTGTCTCTTTAGCTGGTAAAACTTATTGTCTTTAGCACGTTCTATTTTTATCACTTTTCTTTAAAAAATTTATATTATTTATTTTAAGTTTTCACAAAACAACTCGTGAGTGTGGCGTTAATTTGAGTCCGTTTCTTTCGAAACATATGTACATAAGGGGGGTCCAAAATAAGTAAAGTCGGAATTTCAATGTTCTCACTTCCAACGATTTTCCTATTTCGAAAAAAATATACCCCTATTTTTTTATTTTGAAGTCAAAAAGTATTTACGGGTCGCTCAAAGCGCTCAAAGTTTTCCATGTATTTTAAATGGGGAAAAAACAACTTTTCGTAGAAATGGTATGGAATTCTTGAAAATCAATATTTTTCGATCGGAAAACTTTGGTTATCTTCAAGAGACTCCCAATAACAATTCCCAATTGTTTATTTAATCATCATTTAGCATCAAAGATTTTTTATTTTTTCCCCTATTGCATTTTCTGGGGGTTTTGGCGGACCTACAAAATATATTTACTATGAAAAAATGGTCAAATAAATAATTGGAAGAGGAACAGACCTTTCCCGATCGAAAAATATTGATTTTCAAGAATTCTATATCGTTTATTCGAAAAGTGTTTTTTTCCCATATAAATATTTTTTGATTTAAAATATAAAAAAATAAGGGTACATTTTTTGGGTATAGAACAAACCTTGGGGGAGAGAGTATAAAAATTCCGACTTTACTTTTTCATATGCATTTTTTGGACCACCCTAATGTGCATACATACATATTACTCAGTTATTATGCTACTTATTTGGAATCTACCTCGCCTATTTCCAATGTCTACTTGAACTGGCTCAAGTAAAGCTCTCCTCCTGTTGGTTCAAAACCAAACCGCTCGTTTCTTGGGCCTACCATAAGATGAGTTTGACGACTACAATTAATGGATTAACTGACTTAGACAGGTCTTATCAAGCTCTTACAAAAACAACAATAAGTAATTGACTTTGCCAGGCAGCTCTAAAGCTAAGTATAAAGAAGTAAAAGACTTGCCAAACACCGCAGTTTGGGTTGCTGCATAAATTAAGCCTTATGATGTCGGCTAAATATAATTTACACATTGAGGCGTCCAAATCAGTCAGAAGCTTCTACTTGAAAGCCACTACAGAAAGTACCCAAACGAACACCTGTCAGAGGCTCACAAGCACATCAGAAGGCATCTATGCGAAGGATTAGTTTAACCTAACTACTATTTCCATTGGTCGAGAGCATTGACACAACTCGCCTCTCATGGCAGTAACCTTGACCGTAATGACTAGGGCTTCAGGCGGATATAGGTAGCGATCATAGCTTTTTAGGAAGATGTTATATACAGATTTTCAGAAACACGTAGTCATAGATTACAACTTTTTTGGTATTAGCTTGAAAAACAAAATGATCATGACCATTTTTGGGATTCAACAGGAGCATCGAATTTCTATTTTAGGTCTTCTTAGAAGTGGTTTACATATTGGATTCTATACTACATACTTTTTAAATGAAATTCAAGAGGGAATGGGAGGCATATTACTTTCGAATGGAAAGGCCTCGTAAGGGCCGAAAGTTTGCAAATTTTTTCTACTAAATATACATACTTCTAAGCTCAATTTGATATTCTTCAAGCATAGCAATTTTTCAACTTGAGCACTGAAAGAATCCTTTTTCTCACTTTTTATGAACAAAAAAAAATCAGTGTGCCTTCAAGCGGTAGTGACGCCTCTAGTCAAAAAAAAAACAAAAAAAAAAGAATAAAATACAAAAAATAAAAAAAATAAATAAAATAAATAAATAAAACGCGACTTCCAACAATAACTCCAGAAAAGGCTTAAGGAGTACAGTTACTCATACATACATTTACAAACGATAATTTTGCTGATCCATTACCTCAGCTCAATGTTTAGTAAGTAAAGCGTTTTTAAAATTTACGATGTTGGACTCGTAACTCTAGAGTTTCGGTGGTGTGCAGACCGTTTCTGTCAAGCTGCATGACTCATGTGGTGAATTACATCTCTTATAGACAGCAACCTTTCGACTGCGAAAAGCCATTTTACCCTTGACGTACGTTTCCACCACCATATCGTACCATATCAGACTGTTGTACATTTCTGTTAATTTCTTTATCTTATAAACTTTTTAGTTATTTTAAAGCCCACCGACCTGTTGTTACGTTGATTCATTTTTTCTACCACTTTTTCCCTTTTCATACACCCCATACATATCCAGGGCAAAAGATCTTGCCGGATGTGCTGCAGCATATCGGTGTACGACCAGCCAATATGCCACTCTACGTACGTTGTCCCATCTGTGACAAGGAGTTCAAGCAGAAGACAACGCTTTTACAACACGGTTGCATACACATCGAGTCTCGTCCGTATCCTTGTCCAGAATGCGGTAAACGTTTCCGTCAACAATCGCACCTAACGCAACACTTGCGAATACATACGAATGAGAAACCGTTCGGTTGTTTGTATTGTCCGCGGTTCTTCCGACAGCGCACCATACTGAATCAGGTGAGTAACGATTACGAAGTTAGGTTAAATATTTCGAGTAAGCTTCAGAATATCGCTTGATATCTAATACACACTTGGTTTTCTCTCCAACGCAGCATATTCGTATTCACACCGGCGAGAAGCCATACAAATGCGCGCAATGTGGCAAAGACTTCCGACAGAAGGCCATACTGGATCAGCATACACGCACGCACCAGGTAGTTGTAAACTTGTAGATTTGGCAAGAAGAGCATAAATTCATCACGATTTAGGTTAAGAAGTAGTAGATTTATATCTCACCATAGGCAACTCGATCTCATTCGTCATCATTCTCTTCCACTTCCTCTTTTAATACGTTCTTCCATTTTGCTTTACAGGGCGATCGACCTTTCTGCTGCCCGATGCCGAATTGTCGACGTCGCTTTGCCACCGAAAACGAGGTGACCAAACACATCGACAACCACATGAATCCGAATACAACAAAGGCGCGTCGCCAAGCCAACGCGAACAATTCGAACGCCGCTAATGTCAACAATCCGAATGCCAACAGTCATGCCGCCGCTGCAGCGGCATCAGCTGCCGCAGCTGCAGCCGCCGCCAATCATCTGATGAACGAAACTAAGAATGCGGCACAACAATTCCTCAACAACAATAATCCAGCTGCAGCTGGCGGCGACAATAAAGCGAATATATTACCACGCGCCATGGCGGCTGTGCAAAATGCGGCTGTACAACAGTCGGTGGTCAAGAATGAGCTGTACTTCCCGCAGTGCTATGGACCACCGTTCCAGCAGGCGTTCCAAACGCAGGGACAGCCCACCGCGGCGCATAGTGGAGGATCGTCCTCACAGCCGCCAGTAAATGTGACGGTGCCGAATTCGGTGGCGCCTGGTGTAGTAGTGCAACAAAACGCGCCCACATCGGTGGTGGCTCAGTGACATCCCACCACCACGACAGCAGCCGCAGCTGCAGCGGCGGCAGTGGCGGCAGCAGCAGCAGCTAATAATTTAGCAGCGCAGCAGGGTAGTGGTGGCGTCGGCGGCGGCGCAGGAGGTGGTGGAGTAGTGGTGCCAACTTCGGCAAGTGCAACAAACAATACCGCTGCGGCGCAACAGCAACAACAACACCAACAGCAGCAACAACATCAACACCAACAACAGCAGCAGCAGCAACAACAGCATGCCCAACACGGCCTCTCACCGCCACAAACTGTGACACTCTCCATAACATTGCCACCTGTAGCGCCACTGCCGAGTGCCGCTGCCGCTGCAGCGGCAGCAGCTGCCGCAGCCGTCGCGCATCACCCAGTGCAAGCGCATCAGGCCTCACATGTGGGTGGAGGCTCTAGCCTCTGTGGACCGCCAACACATCTGCCGCCAGCGCATAGTGGTGGCGGTGGTGGCGGAGGCGGAGGAGGTGGAGGAGGCGCGTTGGGCGGAGTACAACCACCACCACCACCGCCACCACACACTCTGTCACACGCTATTCCTATACATCCCCATATACACTCAATATTCGGATCTCTATGATGTCATCAAGCAGCAGCCTAATTATACGAAGAGTCTGAGTACTCGTACATACATATATAGTAATTGAGAAGCCCACAAAAAATTGCAAAAAAAAAACTTTGAAAAAATCATGCAATGAGCGTATAAAAACGAGGAATTTTTAAAACAAGCTTAACTTAACAATAACGGTACAACTACCTGCTAGTAAACAGTTCAGCATCAAAGAAGCATTCAAATGAGCACCTATACAGTCACTCACTCAATTTGTGTTAATGCAATGGAGTACGCGCGTATATTGTACACACATACATACGCTTACATAACTAAATATGTATGTTGGTTAATTATGATTTGAATAAATTTGCAGAAGTGCGCGCCTACTCCACTTTTTACCTTTACTACAATTAAATGCTTATAATTTAATTTAATGGTTTCAAATGTGAAAGCATAAATATTTCTTTTAATGTTTGGTAATTGACTTAAATTAAAAAAAAATAAGAACGTACGAAAGTCACAGAAAAGTTTTGCCTCAAAATTTATTAAAAATTAATCGCAAAAAAATGTACCCGAAAAAAGGCGCTCAATTCTTGTGTGTATTAGGCGTGACTACTACCACTACCACATAACTTTTTATACTTATACTACCATTTTATAATACTATTTACGTACGCGCATACTGTGTGAACGAGCAATTCTACAGCGACAGGCAGACTTGTTGGACTAACTACTTGTTTTCGTCATCCTTTTTTTAATTAAAAATTAATTTTTATTTGTTTGAAACAGCAAGAAATGTGAATAATAATTGCGGCAAATACATATGCTTGCAAAAAATTTGTTAAAAATAAAAAGTTAAGTAAATATTTCTCTTATATAGGCCTGCTTAAACATACATACGTGACTATTTACTCGTACATATTATATAAAAAAATATATAACTCTATATTATTTCTTATACTTTTAATTTTGTAAGCGAAAACTAAGTTTAATGCTAAAAGGAGTGTGTTGCAGAAGCAAAACAATTGAAATGTAGCTATTAATTTTATTATAATTATCTATCATTACTAAGTACATGCATGTTATATCTTCATTTTCAAACACGTTCACCCAAACATGCTTACATGTGCACATACATGTACATATGTATACTCACTCAAAAACACTATTACCACACGCAACTAAATTTATGCGTTAGTTTTTATGCAAAACTTACATACTTACATAAATATATGTATGCATATGTAGTAAGTAGTTAAACCGTTATAATAAAATGCTGCAACAACAACCATATGATGGCATGTCATTTACAGCATGTAACACACAGTCTTTTCGAAAAGGACTCTAAACTTTGCAACCGTGAAGAAATGAAAAAGGTCAAGTCAAAACAAACACTAAAAATAAACCATTAAAATCCATACTACAGAATTGACATAATCAAATAATAGACAAATTGAAATAGTTTATAGAAATAGAATCAAAAAAGGGAATAAACGAAATGGCAATAGTCAAATCAATAGTTAAACAATGGTGCTGGGTACAAGAAACGCGGTGGTTTTTTAGAGCGCAGAGCGTTTGATATTGGACTGAAATACCTTGAACATATTTATTCGTATTTTCACTCATAAAAAACATACCGTTTTAAGAGGTTAGCTGCATTCGGGATTTACTAACTATCTCTACTTTGAAGCAATTGCCATTGTAAATCATGGAACTCACTTTAATTTCATTAAACTTACAGCTCTAACTACAATTAAACTCCACGCTTAGGATCGAAAGTATACAAAATCTGGAGTTCATGTAAACCAGTGCAGACGGTAGGGAACTTTTTCGTGTTATGCGTCTGTTTAAAGTGTAAGGAAAGCTGAAAAGGCACTGCTTTCGGGTTGCGATTGGATTTGACTGCTTTAGATTTTATTGGAAAAAGTACAGTTGATAGATATATGAAGAGTAGCTGAAAGTAACACTCAAAATTTGAAATCAGTGTTCGTTTCATAACGACAGGAAGCCTAGAACATAGGCCCCAGTAGGTAATTTATGCAGGCCCATTCTAAATGGCTTACCCAAAAGGGCTGAAATAGTATTTCCTTGCACGCCTTCTAGAATGGCCTTTCCTATTTACAATTTACGCGAATGTATAGGTTTAGCATTACAAATACTTTAAAGATTTATGATTTTTCTGAATTAAAGAAGCAACTTTAAGAGAGCTCCTCCAAAATACCTTCTGAAGTACGTCTCTTAAAAGCCCTTCTACATGGACTTTTATGGGTAGTAAAAGCTGAAACCCTTCAATTTTTGGCACTCTATACAAAAAAGAAAAGAGAAGGGAATATAGTGTTCGGAGAGTACTTTCAAAAAGGCTTTTAACTCCTGATATCTATCTACTGGGGATTTAATGCCAGAATGTATCTCTCGCATTTCAGTCCATTGCGGAAACGATCAAAAGGAGATCTTATGCGGGTATAAAAACATTGTGAGTCAGTGAGAGAGCATTTAGTCTATTCTCGTCAACGCGATTTCTCAACTTTAAAAATTCTAAACAAAGTTCTATGCATGCGATGAATAGGGTGAGCGTTTATGCAGCTACCGTTCTTGTCGCGACATATACCCTTACAAAGCTTATTTATGCATTTGTAGGAATGTAAATAAATATACACACGTTTGTATATGTATGACTATGCACTCCTTTTTATTGCACCTCGTTTATTTCTACTTCCTCATTTCCGGTACGTTGTTGTTTGGAGTGCTTACATTTCAGCCGGCAGACATGAGCTTTCACAAAGTTTTTAATCCAGCAATCGCTCAATAAGTTAATACAAGAACTGGTATTATTATGCTTGCGACTTTGGTGAAAGCTCCACGGAAGCTTTCAATTGATTTATTAGTTTTTGTGAAGCTGTAAATATAAACTTACTTGTAACCTTTAAGTACATACATACATATTTCCCGTCAAATTGAAGTTTGTAAAAAAATTTACCTAATTTTTTTGAAATCGTAAATTGTTGTGAAAGCTCTTGCTAAGGTTTCTTCACAGATCTTTTGAGTGAAACTTTTTGAATAGTCTATAACTGCACATTATGGAAAATATGCGAAATCAAATTCTACTTCTGTGCTCTTATTTCAGTCTCTTTCGAAGTAAACTTTATCGTAATGGGTTGGATAAAAACGTATAAAAATGTATGCACCACAGAAGTAAGAACGCGTTTATAGGTTATTTATGGCCCAAAAGAGCATGCTCCTCTGTTGCTGTACATATATTTTTTCAGTCCTATACATGTTCTTAATGAGCTCACCGATGAATTCTGGCGCTCCTATTTAGGTCTAACTAAAAAACACCTACTCAGCTCCGCACCACACCTCGTAAAAAACCAAATCTCAAAATTATCAGCAATACAGTTTTTACACACAATTTTCCTATGACATCTACATACAGAACTATGAAGTTTTAAAACTGGACTTGATACCTAAAATTTCCAAATCTATTTCGATTATTCCTTAAGTTAATTACTCCTTTAAAATAGCAAATAAATACACATTTAAATACACACCTACATATGCATGCAATCATAAATGCCTTTTGGTTTCTTCTACTAAAAGCTTACTATTATAAAGAAATACAGAGAAAACAAAATGAACTAAATTTAAATAGTTTTAAAAGCAAATACTTTCGTGTAGTTTTTTCGCTTAAGTGATATAAAGAAATTTTTAATAATACATAATATGTAAAATACATACACTTATATTTTACTTACGTTAACGACATGCCAACAAACATAAATAGATACATACATACATACATACGTTAAAAAATTAAGTTAATGAATGATTGATGAGCAGAAAACGTAAGCAGCTGTGTATAAGCTGATATGGCTGCAGCAAAGTGATGAGCATGAAGCCAAGTGTCAGTAGAATGACTTTTACTTTATATTAAATTTAAATTGAACTTGATACTTTATTTTTAAATTATAAATTTTAATATATAAAATATATTGTTTATACAGATATGTATGTATGTATATTTGAAATCCTTTCTTATGAGTAGTTTGTCACAAATGAGTATGCAATTTCTTAATCTATTATTAAAAAAAAAATAAAAATTTATAAAAATTGTGTGCGCAAGCAGTACATTGATAACTAATGATTTTTTTTTCGCAGCAAAATGTGATTTAAGTTTCTTCTCATGCCTTATTTTGATAAATGCCTTTAATTTGTTTGCCTTCTGTCTTTTTGTAGTATTTTATTTATTAACAACTAATTTAAAAATCGTTTAAGCAAATGCATATTGTCTTCCCAATTGTAAATTATTGAATATTTTTCCATTGAGTTACATATAAGTTTTTTTATGTAATCTTATGCTGTGTTTACTTGTATACTCCATATAAACGTGCAGCCACACCGAAAAAAATGTCGTTCGAAGTAAAATTAGCATGTGATTTTTCGCTCGCAAATTTTTCCAGTTGTTAAAACTCGAAAATTTTAAATATTTTCTGTGTAAATTTTTCTAGAAATATAACTCGTTAGGTGCCATAAAAGCAGCAAACATACATGCATAAGTGTTGAAGTGATGATGTAAGGCATTACCCTGGTAATGCCATGTGACACGAGTTGCCGAAACTTCTCAAACTAAAATGTTTACTTTCTAAAAACTTCCGAAAAATAAACTGTAAAAAACAAGCGAGTGCGTGATGACTTTTACGTGTGGTTACACGGAAAAAAAACTTTCCTGTGGCAGCAATTGTGAAATTTTAATTTTAATTAAAAACTTTGTATTATAAAAAATTTAATATTTTTTCAAGATTTTTGTTAAATATATTGAAATTTATATACCTTATTGTGTGTATTAAACAAAAAAAAAACGAAACAAAAAAATAATAGTTTCCAGTTTGAGTTACACTTAATTAAAAAAAAAACACAGAAACATTTTATTTTATAAAAGCATTTATAATTGTTAAATTATTAAAAACAAAAAAGTGCAGTAAATACACATGTTTCCTAATTTAAAAAAAGTAATATTTTTTTGCAACAATATTATTTATTATTTAAAGAGTAAATGCGTATGAAAGCAGACAATTTTGCAGCAGCACACACACACAAATATATACACACACAAACACCTTATTAAACGTACATGCATATATAAAATTTATATTTTAAAATTATATAGAGTATCTACATATACTGCATACATGCACGCATACAAACATATATACTTACATGCATACATATACTATGTATATATGTATGTCGTGTTATATTGTAATGAAATGAACTTTTAATTTTTCTTGTTTATTTTTTTTTTTAGTTAGTTAAGTTTTAAACAAAATCAACTTGCATATTACACATGTTCGCTGATGAAAAGAGGAAATATTATACTTTTAAATAAAAATATATATAAATTTTTTGAAACTTGCGTTTGTTTTTATTTTTACAAAGGTTTTATTTTAATTTAAGTTTTTCTTTAATACGAAATTATTATTTTTTTATTCTACTCAAGACATCGATTTTTCATTTTCGATTCCTATGAATAGAACGCAGTAAAAACACGAGTGCGTAATGGACTTATTTATGTATTTAAAGTTGAGCAGCTGCACGTGGACGTTAAATGTTAATGCTTTGAGTGAAGCTTTCACGCCAATCAAATTAAAAGTGAAAGCTTTTGGAGTGGTTATGTTCTTTTTTTAAAAATTTGTAAGAGCACAATAAAATAATTATCAGAAAGTCCATGTTAATTAAAGCTTTTTTCTGGCTACAAAGCGATTTGAGTGAACTTTTCACAGCAATTAATTTTTAATACAAGCTTAACCCGTGATTAAGTTGTGGCTATTTTAAGTCTAATTTTATTTACTAAACAATTTTAAGCAAAAAGCTGCAGAAGTTTTCGGTGGCATTTTCTTGCAAGCCTACATTTTTTATTTTCTCCATAAATGTTCTTGGTTTTATGAAGATTCAACTTTTCGAAAAAGCTTTTTCTAAGCTCTCATAGGTTTACTTATTTGAAAAAATGATAAAAGCTGGCATTCCTAATTTAATTTTAAGCTTTTGAAATTTTAATTCTTCATGAAAATTTATGTGATGCTTGGAATATGCTTTGGGTTTAGCTTAAGATTTCATATCTTTAGTACTCAGGCTTCCTTGTAACTTATCAAACAGGGAAAGAGCTTTCCATAATATCTTTACGCTTATTTTAAGTACATAAATTTCGAAGTAGCTGTCAACAAAACTTTCAGAAGAGCTTTAAACCCGTAAATACGTACATACATATGTGTGTTGCATTAATTTAAAATTTGTAAAGCTTTCACAACAGTCTCTCATTTGAAATAGCAGAAAATTTCGCGGTTTACTTTTTTGAAACCCTTCAAATTTTACTACAAGGAGCACTTAAGATTTTCTGAAATGTACACAATTTATTAAGCTATTCAAAATTTCACTTAAGTCTTTGTTTTAGCTTCCGACTTTACTTTGCAAATATTTTATTAATGATTGATTCGCTTTTCGTTAGTATCAAAAATATAAGTTACTTATATTTTCTGAAATATTAACAACTTTTTAAAGCCAAGTTTCATGTGGCTTTCACTACATTTAAAAGCTTTCACTAGTAGATTTGGGATACGTATGAAATTTCTTTCTCAGGATTACTATTTCCAAAGCTTCTTTCTTAACCTTTTGACCAGCTTATGCTTTTCATATCCACTTTTACTCCCTCCCACATTCATCGCCGCTCAACTTGCAGCTTTTCACTTAACCTTTTTAAAAGATCTTATTTTCTAAACGGAGCACACATGTTTGGCTAAATACTAAGTAAAAACAAAATTTACACTTTTTCGCAAATTAAAAATAAATTTTCGGTAAATTATGAAAGCGTCTGTTTGTGATAGGCATCGATTGGTACCGAATAGATCCCAACAACGCTTGAGGTTGGGATGATGACGATAGTGGGATATGGCTTGCGCAAATCAACAAAAATATTTTGGCTTAGAATGAAATTATTTTATACCTTTGGCAAAAAAAAAACTAAATTGTAAATACATACATAATTAAATACATATAAGGAATAGGAATTGGAAGCGAAGTGTTGAGTTTAGGTATTTGAATGAATTTCGGGGACATGGAAAATTATGTGCAAAAGTTTTATAGTTAAAGCAAATGGAAATGGGGGGAATACGAGTGAAGGAAAAAGTATAAATTGTTTTGGATTTTAAGGTTTTATAAAACAAAAGAAAAAAAGAACAAAAACAAAAATTAGACAAAATTTTGATTATTTTTAGGCCCACACTAAATTAAAGAAAAAATTTAAAAATCTAAATTAACAAAAACTAAGTAACAAAATTATCAACTACTTATAACTTTCGGCTTAGACACTTTTTGGCGACAAATAAATTTAAAAAAAAAATTACTATTTGGCGTTTAGTGTTGAAAAAAAGTAAAATAAAAAACCTAAAAACCAAAAACAATGCTTTCATTGGAATTATTCATAAATTAAAAAAGCATGACTTGCTATATAATGTTGGCGAAGAAAAATTGTTAAAAACAGAAATATTTGGAAAAAAATACTTTGGCGGAAAACGAAGCAAACTATTTTAGGCCTTAATTAAAGTTGATGGTTTTAGTAAAATTTTGTTCAAAATATATGCTTAGAAATTATGTAAATGAAAATTTCAAAAAAAAAATAAAAATTTGGCTTGGCACTACTAGAAATTATATAGCGATATGAAATTGTTAATTCAAAGAAATTTTGGCTTTAAATTTATAGAAAAAAAAACTTTTTAAATTGTTATTTTAATGAAAGTGAAAAAAATGGCGGGAACAGCAAAATAAAGGCTGCAAGTTTATATAGCACTTCATGCTATAATTCTAATGAAAGCAAAACTTAGACTGAATGTCACTGTGATAATGAAAAGGAAATTTAAGTAAACAACTGAAGCAAAATTAAAACATCAAAAACCAAAAACATAAAAAAAAACAAAAAAACAACAAACAAGGCACAAGCTATAAAATTAATCTATAAAACTTTTGTAAATGTCTTTAGCAGAAAAAATTAAAAAAAAAAACAAAAAAAATTTAACAAAAATAAAAAGTATAAGAAACGAGTTACAAAAACTATTATGGTATCAAAATTAACAAAATTTAGGGGGAAAGTAGCAAGCGAAACTATCAATTAAATTTAGGCGCTAAAACAAAATTAAGGTTAATCAAAATTTTTGTAGTAATGTGATGTAAGAAACTAAACAGTAAAACAAATTTGGTGTGTAAAAAACGAAATTCTACAATAAGAAGGGAAATTCTACACAAATGCTCCAAAATTGCAAAAAAAAAAATATTTTAATTTTTCTGTAGAACTTTTGTTTTATTATTATGCTCTTTAAAATTTTTTATTTCAGTACGTAATTTGAAATGCTAAATACAAAAAAATATTTTTTTAATAGAATTTTTAAATTTTTTCCAACTTAACTCTGACTCAAAATCCACATTACAACAAACACTTGACTGTACATATTAGTGTTCACCAACTAAATGAGCAAACTTGCGTGCTGCGCATTAACAGTGAACATAAACGTTAAAATTACAAAATTAAACAAACTAAAATTAAAAAAAAAAAATATTTCAAAAATACGAAAATTATACGATTTTGTA